GAAATCATTCGTTATATATACAATCATCAGGTATGATGTTTTTCCCATTTTTTATTGAAATTCAAGTTCAAATTCAAAAAAAAAAAAAAAAGGAAAAACGGTGAGTCCATATTCTCTCAAAAAAAAAGAAAAAAAAGAAAAAAAAACGGTACGTTAGTCATTCTTTTTCTTTTTCTTTTTATTTGAATAAAATTAAAATTTATTTCTTAAGAAAATATGTAAACCCTTAAAAGTTCAAGCTATGGTTATACATATCAGTCTGACCTCCTATTTATTTCAACGGCATTTGTAACCTTTTGAACGGTTTTCTATCCTATGTTTTAAAGTAATACATTAAAAATATAATAAATGTATTTTTTACACATAACTCATATAAAAATTTTAATTTTAATTTAATTAATTAATTAAAATTATTTACATATCAATAACATTAAAATAAAATTAATTTTTTATAATTTTTATGTAATTAATTAAAAAAATATATTTATTATATTTTAATTAATGATAAGCCCTTATTTGAGATTAAGTTAAAAAAAATTCAAACTTTTAAGTTAATCAAAATTTTAAGTTTTAACTAATTAAGCTATCTTTTTGAGAGGATAGCATTTAACAATTTCTTACAACAATTATAAGTGGGATTTAAACAATTATTTTTTTAATATATCAAATTATATTCTGTATAATAAAATATAACTCTTTTCCTTTCAAATATCTCTAAATTTATTCTAAAATTTAAATTTAATATCTTTAATATAAAGATTCAAATCACTTAAAACGACTGGCCCTAAGAGACGGGATTTAAACAGTTATAAATATTTGATACATAGTCCCAGGCGGCAATACAACCTTCCACCAAATTAACATGATACCCCACAAATTAGTTAGCTGAAACCTAGAAGGAAAACCTTTTTTTTTTTTTTAACAGCCTAGAAGGAAAACATTTACAAATACTTAATGCAGTTTATCGGGGCTTTAGTGTTAGTTAATAGCAAAATTTTTTATTTATTACGTTAGTTTTTATATATTTTAAGAATAATTCTTTCTCAAATAATTTTAAAAAATTACCAACTCAACCTAACATATTTAAGAAAAATTAATTTTTTAAAATAGTTTCACCATCTCAACCTAACATATTTAAAAAAATTAGCTGAAACCTAGAAGGAAAACATTTACAACTACTTAATGCAATTTATAGGGGCTTTAGTGTTAGTTAATAGCAGAGTTTTTTATTCATCACGCAAAGTTTTTTTTACGTGTATTTTAAGAATTATTTTTTAAAAATAATTTTAAAAAACATCACCAACTTAACTCAATATATTTTAAAAAATTAATTTTTTTAAAGATTGACTAACTTAATTATGGCCTCCACTACACAGAAATTACCGACAACAGAGACTAGACAGCTACACAACGCCTCTCGGCTAGACAACACCTCTTTTTCTTTTTATTATTTTTTTAACAAGGACAATTAGAGGGGAAAGGGGGAAGTAGCCCGGCTCATGGGTTGGGTGAAGCATTAATCACCCTTACTGTAAATATTCTAGTGGTTGATAAAATTTGAATTTTTATCCAACATACTCAGCTAGTAAGATTTAGAGACCAATCTTTAATCACACTCGGGTGAGTTCTACAACACCTCTCCTTTTCCCTCTATATAAAGGGAAAGCCTTGTGCCTATCTTTTGCACCAAAACTTCCCTTCATATCATTAATTAATATACGCTATAAGTGTTCTCTGCATTATTTTCTCTTCAACAACATACATAGGTATATATTGATTTCATTCTCTAATACATACTTTGTTAATTATAATCATTTCATATGCTGATATGAGAGTATGTAGTTGACTCCTAGTGCATATAGTTGGTTAGTTACTATATTTTGTTTCTGGTATACAGAAAAATATGTGGAAGCTAAAGATAGCAGAGGATGGACCTTGGCTGACGACGGTGAACAATCACATCGGACGTCAACACTGGGAATTTGATCCAGAGGCTGGAACTCCGGAAGAACGTGAAGAAGTGGAAAGGCTCCGCCAGGAATTTAAGAAGAATCGATTTAAGGTGAAACAGAGTGCAGATCTCTTGATGAGAATGCAGGTATATTTGTTTTTAGACTTTCCAGAGAATACGTCTGTAAATTAAAGAGGTCTGGAATAAGAAGGTTACAACTAATTGAGAATAAGTGCAAAGCTTAGGAGCAAGATGCATGGTTGGTGAGGGTGTTCTGTTTTCTTTAAGGGATACACGTTACTGTATCAGATTAATACATGTAGGTAATCTTTTTTTATTATTGAAATTGAGAATTAATCCTACACTTTTTGGATTGAGTTCGTTACTCTCTAAGCTTGATACTTTCAAAAGTGTGTTCTTTTAAACAAGGGAATACGTACGGTCATATAACTTAAACTTAGATTGTATATGTATACTATATATAGTATGAAACCTATTAAATAAGTGGGTTCATATAGAGGAGGAGGCAGGGGCTTTGGAAAATTTGAAGTTTGAGTATGTACAATTGTTTTTTTATTAAATTTTGATTTTGGGCATTCAATAAATATGTCTTTTAGGTTAATAAACTTATATCAAAACATTGTTGTGGTTTTTAGTTGAAGTATATAATATAAAAGATGCTGCATGTGTCATATTTATTATACTTTGTGCAAATTTTATCTTTTGGATCCTTGTTAATGGCACAATTTTGCATAGTTCATTACATGCTATGAAATTGGTATGAGTGGATAGATATCCTCACAAGCTTTCTTTTGATACGTGACACTTAAAATGGTTAAGAAATGAGGGAGATATTAGGCTAAAAATCTGGTGGATTTTGGGCACATGCACGGGCTGTGTTGTAAGGTTGAAGATGATAAAGGGGTTAACGGTAAAGTAGTCCTTGAAGATTCTTGAATTTAGCATGTAGGGCCCTAATGTTTCATAAAAGGTGAAAAACAGTCCCTGATGTTTCAAATCATGGAAATGTATAATACTGTAGTCCTTATAACCTTTTGAGATTATCAAATCAGTCCTTAAATCTTAAGTCTTTAAAAATTTTAACATGTCTCGCATAAAAAATTCTAATTATTAGAATGTTCTGGAAAGTCTCGCCCCTTAAAACAAATTCCCGGCTCCACAACAAGATCCATATATATTGATATATACATATCCCTCAAATAAAAAAATTTAATTATAAAATGATGTCATATTGCATAAACTATTGTAAAAAAAATATTATAAGTCTATCATTTTCATTGTTAACTAGTATCAAAATGAATAAATATACTGCTGTAAAAATTTCTTCAGTATCTTTGCTAAGAGCACCTTTTTTTTTTTTTTCAGCTTACCAAAGAAAATCCTTGTGGACCAATTCCACCCGCAGTGAAAGTGAATGAAACAGAAGTTGTAACAGACGAAGCAGTGACAACTACCCTAAGAAGGGCCATCAGTTTCTATTCCTCCATCCAGGCCCATGACGGCCATTGGCCTGCTGAATCTGCTGGCCCTTTGTTCTTCCTTCCTCCCCTGGTAATCACCAAATTATTAACCCACTACGTTTCTTGATGTAAAATATTAGTATTTGCAATTCTAAAGTCATGGAAAATTGCAGGTAATGGCACTATATATTACTGGGTCACTTAATGTGGTTATGTCACCAGAGCACCAAAGAGAAATCATTCGTTATATATACAATCATCAGGTATGATGTTTTTCCCATTTTTATTGAAATTCCAATTCAAATTCAAATTCAAATTAAAAAATAAAAATAAAAAATAAAAACTAAGTTCTAAACGGGAAAGGAACTTTGATGGCAGAATGAAGATGGAGGTTGGGGGCTGCATATTGAGGGTCACAGCACAATGTTTGGTTCAGCATTGAGCTATATTACCTTGAGGTTATTGGGAGAGGGACCTGAAGATGGGGAAGACATGGCTGTGGCTAGAGGTAGAAAATGGATACTTGACCATGGTGGTTTAGTTGGCATCCCGTCTTGGGGAAAGTTCTGGGTCACAGTATGTGCTAATGTCTTGATCCATTGTGAACGTTACCTTAGTGTCTGTATGTATTCTGTAGACCTCTCAACTTTTGGTCTTTTCTGGTGCAGGTAATGGGAGTGTATGAGTGGGCAGGCTGCAACCCTTTACCTCCAGAATTCTGGCTTCTTCCCAGTAGTTTTCCTATTCATCCAGGTTCGTATATTTTTCTTGAATTACTCTAGATGGTATATGACTCATGAGATATATATTGTTAGTGAAGTATGGTTGAGACCCTTGTATATATATGAAACGCAGGCAAAATGTTATGCTATTGTCGCTTGGTTTATATGCCAATGTCATATTTATATGGAAAGAGGTACGTTGGTCCAATCACTGAGTTAGTGAAACAACTAAGGGGGGAGCTCTACAATGAACCGTATCATTTGATAAACTGGAACAAAGCTCGAAACACTGTTGCAAAGGTTAGCTAAGGTTCAAAAAGATACATATTAATATAGATTCATACATGTATTTTGCTAATTCAAAAGTACCATCTCAGGAGGATCTCTACTATCCACATCCTCTTGTACAAGATTTGACATGGGGATTCCTTTACCATTTTGCTGAGCCACTTTTGAATCGTTGGCCTTTCTCTATGTTGAGAGACAAGGCAGTGAAAGTTGCAATTGAGCATGTGCATTACGAAGATAAGGCTAGTAGGTACCTCTGCATTGGATGTGTAGAAAAGGTACATGTGTTAAGCAGCGACAGAGAAAATAAAGTGTATGGTTCCTGTAAAATCAATTTCTTTATGGCCAATGCTGTTTCATTACAGGTGTTATGTTTAATTGCATGTTGGGTTGAAGATCCAAACTCAGATGCATACAAGCGGCATTTAGCTAGATTGCCAGATTATTATTGGATTGCAGAAGATGGCTTGAAAATGCAGGTTAGAAAACCAACCTGAAACCCCATTGTTTCAACATGTAAAACATGAAAATGATAGACATTTGCATAAATATCCATATTTTAGGATTCTGACATTAGCTTAATCAAATGCAGACTTTTGGTTGCCAAACATGGGATGCAGTTTTTGCTATTCAAGCAATTATGGCTGGCAATCTGAATGATGAGTATGGTCCAACTCTTCGCAAAGCACATGACTTCATAAAAGCTTCACAGGTTACATCTTAGTAGCAAATATCTGGCCACAAGTCAATAACCACATTGTGTATGGAAATTTCTGCTCCAAAAATTGGGGTTACATCTTACTACGTTGTTTTAATAGGTTCGAGAAAACCCTACTGGAAATTTCTCAGCTATGTACCGACACATGTCTAAAGGTGCTTGGACATTCTCCATGCAAGATCATGGCTGGCAAGTCTCTGATTGCACTGCAGAAGGATTAAAGGTAATTAAGGCTGCCATAACACTATCTGGTATTTATATGTAAGTAATCCACATTTTTCTGGATTCTGCTAGACAAAGCCTTAAGGTTGTCAGGGATGTTACTTTTCTACAGTGTGCACTCTTGTTCTCACAAATGTCACCAGACCTTGTTGGAGAAAAGATGAAACAAGAAAACTTCTATGATGCTGTCAATGTAATTCTTTCTCTACAAGTAAGAATCAAATCTTACCCACTAATAATACCAACTAATCTTCCTAATCAAATCATTTATTTTTTGTTTTTACCATATCAGATCATCCAATTGAATCATGTCACTTTATCATATTTAGTCTAACCTTAGTATACTACTCTTCTCAATGTAAAATGCAGAGTGCTAATGGTGGCTTCCCAGCGTGGGAGCCTCAAAGAGCATCCCGTTGGTTAGAGGTAATTCATACAAAAAACCTTCACCACCTTCCTATGAATACATGCTTGAAAGTCATATATATTATGTGCTTTTAAATAAGTTGAATCATAACATTCTAACAAATTATGTTCATTCACCTTTTTTCTTTTCTTCAGAAGTTTAATCCTACAGAGTTCTTTGAAGACACTCTCATAGAAATGGAGTAAGTTTTCTTAAGAGGATAATTTAGCACCATTTATTAGTCGTTTTCCCTCTTAATACTCATAGTTGCATCACTCTAGGTATGTAGAATGTACTTCTTCAGCAATTCAAGGCCTCTCACTCTTTAGGAAATTATATCCCAAGCATCGGAGGACTGAGATAGACCACAGCATTGCAAGAGCTGCTCACTACCTTGAAGAGACACAAAAACCAGATGGTTCATGGTGAGTGTAACTGTAATACTCTCATGAGTAGTATGCAAAATTATTAGGTCTACAATTCATGACATGCAATGGCCCCTTTTATCAAAAAGGTATGGTTGTTGGGGAATTTGCTACACCTATGGAACATGGTTTGCAGTAGAAGGGTTGGCTGCTTGTGGCAGAACCTATCACAACAGTCTTACTATGCGTAAAGCTTGTGAATTTTTATTATCAAAGCAGCTACCAAATGGAGGGTGGGGAGAGAGTTACCTTTCCAGCCAAGACAAGGTACGGTCTTGGAAAACCTTTGCCACAAGATCTTCTAGAGAAGAAGAAAAGCAAGATTTGTTACAATTAGGTGTCAAATAATGAAATTAGAACTGCATAGAATATTATAGTAATATAAAGTGGTCATCTTTCAAAAACTTCTTTGTAAATGAGATATCATGCGTTTTTGGAACAGGTGTATACAAACCTGGAAGGCGGTCGTGCAAACTTGGTTCATACAGCCTGGGCTCTGTTATCTCTCATTGATGCGGGACAGGTCAGTATGAAATGGTTTAAGAGGTTACGACTTCAATTTATTGTCACACGAAAACTGGAAAAACTGATGTTATGATACTGAATGCCATGGCTTATATAGGCTGCAGTAGATCCAACCCCCGTTCATCGTGGTATAAAGGTTCTAATAAATTCACAAATGGAAGATGGTGACTTCCCTCAACAGGTGATCTAGTAGCGAGCTTGAAGTCACTTTTAATTTCTCTTCTATTTTAAAAGTATTACGTATATATACACTCTGACTAATAATTGAAGTTCCCTTGTCTAACTGTCAAAATATATTGGTGATTGTAAACAGGAAATTACAGGAGTGTTTATGAGGAATTGCACACTCAACTACTCATCTTACCGAAACATATTTCCCATATGGGCGCTTGCTGAATATCGCCGCCGTGTTCTATTTGCATAAGTCTCTGAACCCTAAAAAAAAGGGATGCACTATATATGCACTTAAATACCAAAGTGATGAGAATAAATATCTACAAAATAAGCCTCTCTCACTGCTAGTTAAAGGATGAATATGTATATACTTGTCTTCCCTACAAATGCAGTTTCTTATGATATAATAAGCCATGATGTTGCAACATAGCGATCTAAAATCCTAATCATACATTATGATGCATGTAGAATTATACAATGTAAACTTTAAAGTCAAAACCTTGTAAAAGAATATGAGATGATGAATTACATAACATGGGATATTCCTTCCCTTTTAGAGATGACAATGGGTCCTCACCTCTCCCCATCTTCGTCCCCACTGTTCGTGGATATGGGGATCTCCATGAAAATGAAGGGTTCCCACTAGTATAAAGAATCCTTAAGAAAATATACAAAATGTTTTTTTATTTTTGTTTGGTTGTATACAAAAATGCATGCTTTGATTCATTCAATTCTTTGCCTAAAAAAAAGTTTCAAAAGCATTTTAGAAAAACTAGTTATTTCTAAACATTTTTTTCTTCCATAAAATTTTTTTTAAAATGAATAAAATAAAATAAAATAAAGTAAGTTTTGCCTATCAAAAATAAATAAATAAATGAAATTAAATGCAAATTAAAAGAAACCTATTAAATAAAGAGTATTAAATAAAGAGGTGAGGTCAAGACACTACCAGAAAAATGATTATTATGGACAAACCATTTCAGTCAAGCATTTAGCTTGACAGAAAAAAAATGCTTATTTCAATCAAAAAATTTGACCAAAAAAAGCAAGTTGGCTGTTTAAAAGATAAGAAATTGGTTGATTTGGTCTAATATTTATTCGGTCAAGATATATGAACGAAATAATAGTTTGGCAATCGGCGCCAACATTAAATCGGTTAATTTTTTTGACTAGAAAAAAATATTAAAATATCACATAATTTGGTCAAATTTTTTGTCCGAATATAATTATAAATATGTGAAAAGAATCGTTAAAAATAGTATTTTTAATTCATTATTTCAATCAAACTTTATGACCAAAATAATTATAAAATTTTGTAATTCATTTTTTTGGTTAAATATTTAGCCCAAATCATTATAAGATTTTATGCTTAGAATTTTTTACTTTATTTTGGTCAAATTTTCTTGACCGAAACTAATAATTAGAAATTACCCAAACACTATCTAAAGAACCTTAACCCTATTTTGGTCAAATAAATTGACCAAATACGTTGATGCATTTAAAAATAAAAATAAAAAATCTTTATATATATGTTCTGTTAAATTTGTTGACTAAAATATATACAAAGCGTTATCTATACTTAGTTATTTTTCCCTTGAATTTAATTATATTTGAATTTAATTTATTTTCCTATTTTGATCAAAATTTTTTATTGAAATTGTCATTACATATTTCAAAAACTTTGTTCTTATGCCATGAAAAACTTGAAAATTTTCTATTTCCAATTTATATTATTTTGGTCAAATATTTTGTCCAAATAATTTAGAGTTCCCCGTCAATTACCAATTGAATTAGTTTGAATTTTTTGCCAAATTTTAATTCAGTCAAAATTTTTGTCCAAATTAATTTTCCCCATCAATTATTAGCTAAATTTAGTTTGAAATTTTCGCCAATTTTTAGTTCGGTCAAAGATTTGTTCAAATTAGTTTGCAGCTTATTTATATGCTTCAAGTCTTAGATTTCTCATTTGTTTTTCCCACTCTTCTATTCTCTTCTTTCCTCACTTCTCTTCTTCCTCCTTTTCTCCTACATTTCTCTTATCTCTTCTTTCATTTCCTTTCACTTATCTTCCTCTTCTTTTTCTACTTTTCTATCCTCTCTTCTTCCCTTTTCCTTTCACTTCCCTTTCCTTCTATATTTTCTAATTACTAATTTCTTTTGATTTATTTTAATTTTTCTTTTTCTAATGTTTTTTCAGTTTTCTTCTATTGATGCTATTCATTTATTTTTGTAGGATTTAATTTATCAAAAATTGGGGCATCAATTTGAAGGTAAATCTATTAAATTTGAGTTCATTAATTTATTCTCATATTTACAGTTTCTTTATATTTCTCTAATTTTTTAAGCTACAAATTCATTTAATATTTTTAATCAATAATTTTTTATGTATTTGACTCCTTTGTGTGTTGAATTTTTTTAGAAAATATATATTCATGGCAACATAAAAAGAGGTATGATGTTTTTGACAAAACTTTTTTTTTTTCACATTTTATGAATTTGATTATAAGTTTTAGTTAATTAGAAATATATATTCATGGCCAAAAAGAACATAATCTATATGCATTATCTTATATATCATAAAATTTACA